AATACACACAAGAAACTCTTCATACCTGGTTATTAGATCACTTGAGTTTTTCTTTTCATCAGATCAAAGAGTCTGATCTCTGCGGTCAAAGCAGCAGAATAAGGGGAACAAAGAGCCTGCATGAGGATTTAAAAAGAGGGAAGAAAACCACATTGCCGCTATGTCACACAGCCTCTCACCTCTCACCCCAACTTGTGGCCAAACACTGAATCATCAGCTTTCAACCCTAACAACAGGCAACCAGCCAATCCATTCATGCCATCCCTCCAACCCACAGGAGAACATGCACCTGCTGCATGATCAGGCAGGGTGGCAATCAACAGCCAACTGGGCCACCTGACCCTCCCCGCAAAGCACAACAGGTACAGCCGAATGCTGGGAAAGCAGAAACAGCTCAAGCCAGGAGCCAGCTCTGAATTTGAATAGCTCAGAAGTGTTTGGCTAAAACCACAATACATGAAACACATACAGCTCTTTAAATCACTACGAACAAGGAGCCATGCTAGAGGGCGTTTCATCCCTTGGAGCTCCCCTCGGAGAAAGCATGTTGACTCAGGCCCCTGTTCGCACATTGCCGCTAAGCAGCTGGCTGTTGACAAAGCTGAACAGCAGGAACACAGATGGAGCTGTCCCACAGGGGGGAAATAAACCAAGCACCTGATAAATCTGATGTTACCAGGGCTAAGGTAAAAGGCAATAGCTTTTCAGCATTTGTTCTCATTGCTGTTTTAATGATTTACTTTTGGTCTTGGGACACTGACCTTACCTTGGTCCTGGCAGGGGCTTTTGGAACAGCATGTCTAAATCAGTCCTCCTTCCCCGTGGCAGATATGTACATTTCCTGTTACTTGTACGGAATGTGAACAACAGTGGAAGTGGGGTCAAATAGTCTGAGAAAGGGGCTGGGGCTTTGTCACTTGCTTGCTGTCACGTCTATCACCTGCAAAATGGGGATAATGATCCAGTCCTTTGTAAAGAGCTTTGAGACAGTGGCGTAGCTAGGAGAGGAAATTTGGGTGGGCCCAGACTGTTGGGTGGACAGGCAGTGACAGACTCTGCTAGCTCAGCTACTCCCCCGTCGTCATGCCCTCTGCCTAGCCCTGGTGCCTGCAGACACAGGGCTTCACCTGCCAAGCTGGGCACACGCACTGGGCGGTGCAGAAAATGGCATAATAGAGCTGCCGGAGCATAGCTTTCTGAAGGGCGGGTGCATAGCTCCCTCCTGGATTTCTGCTGCCTGAGTGATGTTCTGAGCCACTGTGGCAACAGTACACCCCTGCTCACCTTTCGGGGGGCCTGGATGCTAAGCTGATGCTAAGCTGCTGTCCACCCTGGCCCACCCGTAGCTACGTCCCTGCTTTGAGAAGTTTGGAGTTAAGACATCACCACACCTGTTAGCACAAAGAATTATTACAGTGTCATTGAAGGAAAGTTAAGCCATGAAGAGCCTAGAGACCTGCCTGGCCCCAGAAGTGATCTACAGGACTATTTATTATTGTTTGCAAAGTCTATGCCTTTTTTTAAAAAAGAATAAAGAGTAAAATTAAAGGTGGCATCTTGCTGGGAAAATCCCAACAGTATCCTTGTCTGGCCTTTTGAGCCAGAGCCCAAGGTAGTACTCCTAGCTCTGTGGTGACAAATAGGTGAGCCACCCAATTCTTGGGCACTTAAACGCCCCCCCCCCCCCGCTGCACCCCCAGAGGTGACCACAATCCAAGGGCTCAGGTAACTCTCTTGGGTAGCTGTGGCTGGAGATATGTATGGGCTTTGTCAGTGTCTCTCTTTGAGCGCTCCCTTTGTCTCCATCCATTCCACTTGCACCTTCTTTCCCGCCACCCCACCTACTTGGAACAACCTCCCCGGGAATGTACACGCAGTCCCACTACTCTCCTCACTCAGATGCCTGAACCCCTACCGTTTCCATGGAGCGTTCGAGCTGCAGGGACTGGGAACTCCCTGTACTTCCTGGGGTAGCACTCCGGTTTGCATGGAGTTCTCTTGCCTTTATACATCTGGGGCTAGAATTACTACTGGCACAAGTGGATGCAACCCTGCTGAAATGTCTGGAGTCAGATCCCCCAGCCAACTTGGCTCATTGTGCCAGACTGGCAGCTCTCGGGGCAGCTAACCGTTGGGCACACAGGGTTGCACCCTCCACCCCCAGCTGTGCTGACAGTGCTATGGAGTTAGTCTTAAACCATGCATGACACCTGCTATTCAAAGCCAGCACTGGCTTCCAGGTGCAAATCAAGATGCCTAAACCCCATATGATTTGGGTCCTGGATTCCTTTCAGATTGCCTTTCCCTTCCATCATGGCAGTGGAGAACTTCACTTCAAGCTCAGTGCAGGACCCTCTACTCTATAGTAGTAGGTTTTTTTTCTCCACGTTGGTCGCACAAAAGGCTAAGTTCATTGACCTACATGGCAGAGCACAGTTCATCTGTTGATTCAGGCTATTGCCCGAAAAGACTGATGATAGAGGTGGTGTATTAGAGTTCAGTACAGTTGACATTAGGCACTGGATTGTTTTCTTTGGTATATTTGTACGTGCACCCAGAGACTGTGTGATGGGCATATTTTACATATTGCAAAATAAATCAAGCTTAATCTACTGAGCGTGCCATCAATTCCCAAACTGTGTGCACAGGCAATCGGACAATGGAAATATAGCTTTGTACAAATAAGAAACCACAAAAAACACTGACAAATATTTAAATTACCCAAAATAAATTATAAAAGACCTGAAATACCTTTCACTGCACCATAAGTGATGCATCTAACGACAAGGCCAGGGAAAGAGCTGTCACTGTGACCTTTCTGAAAAGAGGCTGACAGCCTCTGGCGCAGATTTAGAATTCAGATTTCACATTAAAAAAAAAAAAAGATTGAAGTCAAAGCAGCAACCAACCCTCTGTTATAAAGCTCAAGCTCACCTCTCTGAGAGGTAACTTGGATCCTGCTGTAGGGTGGCTGGTTTAAAAGTACACGTTCTGAAACTCTAGGAGTTGATTTACCTTCAGCTCCATCATGCCTCTCCTTTGCAGATAAGAGGATTACCCCCCCAACCAAACTCCCCCCTCCTCCTCCCCCCCCGCCCCCCCAGAGAGAGAGAGAGAGAGAGAGAGAGAGAGTCAGTGAGTAAACTCTGGAGAATGCTATGACACACAAAGAGCACAGGCAAGAGCAGTGCCAGCTTTTCCATAACAATCTCACAAGAACTGGCTTGTTAACAGCTCCAACTGTGCTTTGGGCCCTGAGATCAAACCAATTTCATGAAGGCCAAAAAGCCATTAGGTTGTAAGTTTTGGACACCACCACCACAGACTGAATTTGATCTAGCCACCTTAGATGAAAGGCTCTGCATCCATTAGCAATCCACTGAACTGCTCAGTTCCCCCACCCATAGCAGTTGTCGTTTCAGTCTTTGCAACTGGGCAAATCACAGCCGGCAAGCCTGTCCTTCTGCCACCGGGGACTGCTTGCAATGGAACCAGTGCAAGTCGGCTCAAAGGTGCGTGCAGGGCTTCATGATTCTGCACCCCCCAACATGCTTGTACACACACACTAGGGTCTTACTATGCCCCAGAATGCAGTAGGTCAGGGCCAGGGATGCTGATCCACTGGCCCTTGAGGGGACAGGGATACAAGTGCTACAGACACCGCTGTAGCTGAGCCATTCTGCCAGCTATGCTGCTCCTCCCCAAGGGGAGCCTTGTGTGCCCAGGAGCCTCCTTTCCACTAGGAGAAAGTGCTGAGCTCCAGTTCTGCTAAGGCTGTACTTAACCTAGTAGCCATGGGGAAGAGGGGCCCTGGCTGTAAAAAAGTAAAATGTCTTCCAAACAAACCCGGTACCAGAGAAAAGTCAGCGGCCTCCCCAAGAGCTACAGAAGCACCAGCAGCATTCCAGCTTCTCTCAAAGCTGCTGTTTGTTTCTTTTAAAAATTAGTAATTTCACAAGGCCCACCCAATGCTACACAGAGAAACAGGAGCGTTCTTCACAAATAGCCTTCACTGCAGCAGCCCGGGGCGGAAACACACAGCAAGGTAATTCTGAGTCCACAGTTGCAGACAAGAGCCGGAGACACTGCAAGAGTCTAATAGGAGAGACTGGGGGAGTGGCAGTGGGTTATAGAGCCTTTTGCCTGTACGCTCACCTTGTCTGAAACCAGCACTGAGCAGGTTTGTATTGACCACAGCAGCTTGTGATAGGAACTTGGTGCTCACCAGGGACAGGTCAGGTGCTCATGTCACAAAAACCAAATGCCCCCCACCTACCGGCACCCTCATGAGTAGAATCAGCAGTCACTATCGGCCAGTGGTTCCCAAACTTTAACAGCCTGTGAACCCCTTTCACTAAAATGTCAAGTCTCACGAACCCTCTCCTAAAAATGAATATTTCCAGGGATTTTCTCCTTTACCTGAGTAGAAATTATAAAAGCAGTGATCTTGGAAATATTAAATTTGTTTTTACGACATTACACATTATTATTAATTATTTATTATAGTATTTTTATTACATTACGAAAACAGCAAACACTCTTCCCAGATCTCACTTTTGTAGCTTGTATCACTTTGAATAAGCCTGTTATAAGAAAAGGCTCCTATATTTCATCAAGGAGTATCAAATGTGAAACAGCATGAAGGTATTCAAGAAGCCAACTCAGAGTTCCTCCTACATAGCATTCAGGTCTGGAGCAGTCCAGGCAAACAACACGTTACAATAAAGCTTAAACTTGTTCACAATTTTAAAAACACTAGCTGCCTACTTAATTTTAAAAACAGCAAAAAATATCCACCTCCCTTTCCATTTCTTATAAGGAGTCTTGAAATTTCAATCTCCTCAGTGTGATAGATATGCTTGCTTTGATCTGCATAGCTCTTGGAAGTCCAGGGGCTCCGGGCTGCTGGCCCCATGTTGCCTGGGGTCCCTAGAGACAGCTCTGTCTACCATTAGGAAATCCCCCCCCCCCCCCCCCCCCCCCAAGAACCCCCTGTAACATTTCACAAACCCCGTTTGAGAACCACTGCTATAGGCTGAGATGTGCAGCAGGTCAAGGTATGGGAGCTTGTGTCGCCATCCCCTCTACTGTACCTATTCTGTGGCTAAACAGAGATCTTCACGCTCCAGCCCATAGTCTGGCACTTCTCATCCCGGACAAGATAAGGAAGGATCCATTCATTCAGCTACTTAACTGTAGTTCTACACAGGCTTCTGTCAGCTCCCCTAGGAAAGCCAATGGTACCCAGTTGCAGCTAAAAGCAGGGAGAGGCTGATCCCTTGAGAAATGGCATGACTGGTAATGTCCAGTGTTCCATTCAGGGCTACTGGGCTGTAAAGTCTCCAGCTGGACAGAATTACGTTTGCAGAGGTACCAAACTGTAAACAATGGGCCAATTGCGCTTACCAAAGTGCAATCAGGCGCTGCAAATTGGTGCTTATGATGCAGCAGCTCTCCACTTTTTTTTCTTTTTTTTGCCTTCGAGGACAGGCTGAGAGTTTAGAAAACGCTTCCTATATGACAAGAGGCTATACGGAAAGAAACATCTTCTGATCTTTTATTTTAAACCTCTCAGTTAAATTAAAGAACTATATTAGTGACAGCAGAACTCCACAGTCATTAGAACAACAATGGGTGAAATCCTGACTCTACTGAAACCAATGGGAATTTTGTCATTCATTTCAATGGAGCCACCCAATAATCCTTTACCTTAATAACTGTCAAAATATGCATGCGTACGCACATGCACACACTCTCTCTCAAGTGATCTATTTGGCTTGAAACCGATAAATATTAAACACAGTTTTGGTGTTCGCTATGAGGAGATAAAAACAAAGCAAGGGGCGCCTCTGTTGGCTGATATCTGTAAGAGAAATTAGAAGGCAAGGTTGGGTTTTTTTTTGTTTTGTTTTAAAATTGCATGTTAGTCACAGCAGAAGGGAGGCTAAAATTTGTTAATTACATGAGAGTCTCGTAATTAGAAATGGACATATAAAATTTAATAGCTTTGGTTTAAAATATATCTTCAATTATACAATTAAAAAAAAGCAAAACAGTAGGCAAGACCAAAAACTCCAGTTTGATCAAACATACAACATTGCTATTATAATAAGACCCGTTTCCCAGAGTATTTTATAGTGGAAAACAATCCCTAATTTAAGTCACATACTTCGTTAAGGTAACAGTACAAGAAAATCATATCAAGTCTACATCTACAAATGATCTAAATCTACTTCCCTAGCCCTAGACTGATTCTGTAATAAAACTTCCACTTCCAATAAAAATGAATTTGTATGTCTACATGAGTGTATAAGAATTCCCTCGCCACAGTAACATTTCCCCCCGAATATATAAATGGAAGCCCAAATTGCAGTAAATTCAGAGAAACTTGAGTACAACAGAGTTCTGTTTTTTTCTTAAAACCAGGACATGCTTAGGAGAGATTACATGCTGGTGCAGTCTCATCAATATGCCCACAGCATTACAGACATGTTTCTTTTTTAGGTTTGAGTCCTACAAGCTGTCTGCAGTCTGCAAAAGCACTGAGCACTCAACGTTTGCTGAAAACTTGTACAGAGAGATTTTCACACAGCATGGAGAATATGGAGTGCTCAGTAGGTCAGCAAAACTCTGTCCCTGCACCAAATTGATCACTGAGGAATAATGGAGGGGTAGCAGGCCTGGTGCTGGAAGACGGGGGAATAGTCAGAGTAAAGGCTATGATACAATGCATAGCAGCAATTTTAAATATTTTTAATATTAAATATTTTAATATTTAACAGTGTTTTGGTCACAGGCAGCCACTGCTCAGTTTCTCTTCCCACAGCTGCAGGCTTGATGCTTCACGATGAACACGGAGCATGGTGAGCTTGCCAGCCTGCAGGGCCCACTCCCCAGACACCTACTTGGATTGTGAGCATTGTGCTACATGGCCATACTGGTGGCTTGGGCCTTAATCTCTCAATCCTTATCTATTCACCTGCAGGATCAAGTTCTCAGGATCACAGGGTCTGCCAGACTGGATCAGCGTACTGGCTCATCTAGTCCAATATCTTGTCTCTGACAGTAGCCAGCACTGGATTCAGAAGATGGTGTGAGAAATCCTGGAGCAGGCAGTTACGGAATAGCTGGCCGTAGGGAAAACTTCTTCATAAACCCAAGAGGTTGGCTTATTCCCTGGAAGCACAAGCACACAGCTCCTCTCAGGTTCAAGACTGAGAATACACAATCTTACTACAGGTACAGAATATGAGTAACACAGCCATTGTAGAACTTTATTTGGTAGTGTACAACACAAACCTAACCCACCACACCTCACGGTGTACAGAGTGGTCTGCTGTACGGTAAGCATCATTCCTTCTGCTTGGGAAAATCCTCTTTAAACAAGTCATCTCTGTGCGTTCTATGAATATAGAATGTGTGCTCAGGTTTGGCGCATACTAGGCTTTTAAATAGCTGGTTGCCTGTATATAGTATCCTTTTAGGGAGGGTTCATTGCATATATTCACTGTATATACATGAACACCATATTTTTTGTATATATTATATATGACTCCTATGTACACATTTACAAACCTTCAAAAATATATTGCACTTATATACAATACAGCTTCATGTCAAATGAGTTCACACAGCAACTTAGGTAAGTTCTTCATGAGCAAGGCAGTTTTACATTCCCGCAAAAATTAAACAAGTGATTTCAGCAACATGCCCTGTTCAGCAGTAAACATTATTGAGTCTAGTCTCCCATAAGCATCAATGAGAGTTGTGCAGCTGCATCTACAAGAGAGCAGTCCAATAAGACACTATCAGCTGATAGGCTCACATGAATATTTAATAGATAAATAGAAGTTAGAATATCACCACTATTTCAAGGCTTCTCTCCCCATCCCCATTTGCTAATGTTTTGTACATAAATATTATTTAATTCCTGATATCTTTGTTCACTCATTTCAAGTGCACTGAGTTATGAGCATTGTTTTGTCCTTTGGGAAGAACAAAAACATGACTGTATCAACTTTGCTAAACACACAGTGCTCCGATCCCTGGAAGAACTGAACTCATTGGGTTTCTTCTAGAGAAAGCGATTAGTGTTACCCGGAAGACTAAATTACAGAAAAATGTTCATCTGAGACCTTCATTTAAAATCCACAGAGGTTCGATGGCTTTGGTCTTAGATCTCAGTGAGAGTGAGCTTGTAAGATCCTCCAGTCTCTTCAATCTGTAGCTGGAAGGTGTCTTCATTCGAATAGTGCTTCACAATATTGTCGTCCATGTTGATCAGGATTCTAGAAAGTAAGGCTGGTAAGTATTATAGTTTAAAGTGAAGAAGTTACCAGAAATGCATTAAGTGTTTCTGATTTAAAGCTAAGAGAACACTTCTGGACTGCCCAGAAATAACTCGGGATCTCTGCTACCCCTCTTTGACCCTTCATCTCCTATCATGGTTTAACTCAGTGCTTCTCAACCAGAGGTATGTGTACCCCTGGGCGTATGCAGAGGTCTTCCAAGGGGTACATCAACTCATCTAGATATTTGCCTAGTTTTACAACAGGCTACAGAAAAAGCACTAGCGAAGTCAGTACAAACTAAAATTTCATACAGACAATGAAATATTTATACTGCTCGACATATTACACTGAAATGCAAGTACAATATTTATATTCTTATTGATTTATTTTCTAATTATATGGTAAAAATGAGAATGTGAGCAATTTTTCAGTAATAGTGTGCTGTGACACTTTTGTATTTTTATGTCTGATTTTCTAAGCAAGTAGCTTTTAAGTGAGTTGTAACTTGGGGGTATGCAAGTCAAACCAGACTCCTGGATGGGATACAGTAGTCTGGAAAGGTTGAGAACCACTGGTTTAACTGATCTAATCTGCTTCAAAAGTTACTGTTGTGGCTTGAAGCCACACTTACAAACCACTGTCACAATTTGAAAGAGCTGCAAGACCAGCGTGTGGGAAATGGAGGGAGAATGATCTCAAAAATGATAAATAGAGCTGGGAGAGAGTCACACACACAAAATCGCCTGGTTGCGACACTCACCTGAATGCAAAACACATGGGAGAACCAGGTCCAAGACCATACTCTGTCTGATTCCACTTTGTATAAATAATTAAATATTCACTGGTGCAGGGACTTGGACAGGGGTCTCACATCCCAGGTGAATGCCCTAAGCACTGGACTAGAGAGTCAGTCTCTCGCTTTCTGTCCCAATGAATATTTATTTATTTATGCAAAAAGTAGAACAACTCCAACAGGAGAGATGGAGACAGACTCCATCCCAGAATAGCCTGGGGGATAAGGCACTCACCTGGGATGCAGGAGACGCAGGTACAAGTCTCTGCTCTGAATCAGGATGCTGGAGGCATCCCAGGCAAGTGCCAAAACCACTGGGCTTTGGTTATTCTCGGGTGCGGCCTCTATATTTTTGCAGAAAATATCAAAAGGTCTCAGGTTTGTCCCACAGCAGAACAAGAAATTTTTTGAGATCTTGAAGGTTTTCATTGGATGGGAAAACCTTTTCCAACACAGCACTCCTGACCCACAATCTTTATGATGCTAACTCAGTTTCAAGACACATGGATAGTTCACAAAGCTCTGAACTGGTTCAGCTGGACACCTAACAAATATAGGAACAAGGTGGGTGAGGCAGTATCTTTTATTGGATCAACTTCTGTGTGTGTGGCTCAAAAGCTTGTCTGCCTCACTGAGATCCTCCTCATGTCTGGGAAAGGTACTCAGAGGGTACACAGCAACTAGACACCCACAGCTGGCCCATGCCAGCCAACTCAGACTTATGGGGCTGTTTCACTTCTAGTAGACATCTGGGCTTGGGCTGGAGCACAGACTCTAGGACCCTGTGGGGTGGGAGGGTCCCAGAGCTCAGGCTCCTGCCCGAGCCCAAAAGTCTAGACAGCAGTAAAACAGCCCTAAGCCCACGAGGTCACGTCAGCTGGCACAAGCCAGCCATGGGTTTTTCTTTGCTGTGTAGACATACCCAGAGTTTCACAGCTAAATACCAGGAGGAACAGGCTGTTTAGCATAAGTAGTGAACACACATTTCAAGGGACCATTCAAGGTGAAGTGGCCATTTAAACACAGCTACAACACTGCACACAACCTAACAATTATGGATGTAACAACAAAACACAATGGGGATGGCAATTCAATTGCTGCAATCTGGACACGTCACACCACTTCCTCTTTTCCTGAAATGGTCTTTATGGATACAGATGCCTGCCTAAATTGAATTGCCTTTGGTTAGCACACTTTCAATTCACACCTTTCCCAGGCAGTCCTGCTTTAGTATTTTGACTCATATGAGGACAGCTCTTTACAGCACATTCCAAAGGCATGGAAAATTAAAGGATTGAATACTGTGTCTAGTTCTGGTGTCCACAGTTCAAAATAGATGATAAATAATTGGAGATGGTTCAGAGAAGAGCCATGTGAACGATTAAAGGGTTGGAAAACATGCCTTAACCTTACAGTGAAAGACTCAAGGAGCTCAATATATTTACCTAACGAAGAGAAAGATAAGGAGTGAGTTGATTATAGTCTGTAAATACCTACATGGGGAACAGAAATTTGATAATAGAGGGCTCTTCAATCTAGCTGACAGAGGTATAAACAAGATCCAATGGCTGGAAGCTGAAACTATACAAATTCAGACTAGAAATAAAGTGCAGGGTTTTTGTGTTTTGTTTTAAACAGTGAGGGAATTAAAGACTGTGGTGGATTCGCAATCAACAACAATGTTAAATCAAGACTGGTGTTTTCCTTAAAAAAAAAAAAAAAAAGATTTGTTCTAGTTCAAACAGGAATTAATTCAGGGAAGTCTGGGGTCTGTGTTATGCATGAGGTCAGACTAGATAATCAAAATGGTCCCTACTAGCCTTGTAACCAATCTGTGCATTTTGGAACAGATTTAGCATCTGTGTTGTGTATGAAGGGAGCACGTGTACATGCAGGGGGTTTATAATGTGTATTTTATTTTTTTTAAAACAGCTGGACAACATCACAAGATATCACCCTTTCTTTGGAAAGCTGTGGTAGATGTTAATTGAGACATACTCACCCTTTTTTACATTTCTTGAAGATTTTTCCAATTTTATCAAAAGGAACATCATACTTGTCAGATATCTAGAACATAAAAAGAAAACAGAGTCCCTAAATGAGAGAGACTGTAGGCCACTTTGTTTGATTTACATCATTGTATCGTGCACCTGAGAAAAAGTGAAATACAAAAACCCTGCCTTGCAAGATTGACATTGACATTCCTAAAAAGTAGCCCAATCAATCAACAGGACATGCCAATTTTTAATCATTATGATTTCCAGTTTACCAGTGGATTAATTACTAGGACAGGAATGCAATCAATCAGTTTCAATGCTTAAATTTTCTTATTTTCACTTTGAAGTTTCTGGTCAAATTTTTCAAACATCCATATTTAAACAACTAAATAAAAGTGCTCTCATGACTGAGCCCTGAGCGAACCCTCCGATTTCAACAAACTACTGAATCATGTTTTAACCACAACTGCCTCTATCAGGTGGTAACTGGGTTCCACACCATGGTGGCTTTATGTATGGCAGAACAGGCCTTGAAGAAAACTGGCACTGGTCACCAGGGATCTTAGTTTTCCATGATAAAAAATAAAAATAAAATTCTCTGATAAAAACCCTAATTTTTCTGCAATTAAAACAAAATGCTAAACTTTAGTTTCCCTAGCCACTGGGGAGAGGGAAGGATATGCTGCCCCCACATCCCAGAAGCAATGAGGTGAGGAATGTGCATGCTCTGCTAAGGAAAGAAGACAGCTGCAAATATCCTACAATAATTGGCAAAATGAGGTCAGTATAAAAAACAGCAGTCACCTCATTAAGTATTTTATTACATAAACCACATAAACCCGTAAAACCCACAACAAAGTGGTTGTTATTGTTCTACAACCAATTTTCTTTGGCAAGTTGCTTTATCTACAGTTTTGTTTTTGTTCTAATCTCACACTGATAGCAAATACTCATCTTGCATTACGTAGTAACAGGTGGGGATTTCCTGATTTAGATCTGTTCTAGTACATACATTCTGCTTGCTCCTACATCAGGGTCTGAGTAGAATTGGGTCGATGCTACAATTGGGTCAATAAACTCTTCTTCCCCCTGTACCCCCAAAGATTAGGTGCAAATGCTTTGTAACACATCGTAAATGCAAGTCACAAAAGCCATGATGGAATCTCAGATTAGGGAATGGATTTTGGATCCCAGGACTAAGGCTAATGAGTGCTTTCACTTATACCACCTTAAACCCTTCAGCCGTCAAACCTTAACAAGACACTGGTTGGACAAAGACAAGCAAGCAAAATCAAATGACCAAGAGTTTCAATGTTTGTTGTAAATTCAACAGGTACTCCCCAAAGTAACCTCTACACTTTCCCTGTACCCCAGCAGGCAATTGGAGGAGTGGGTGATATTTTGCAATTTAAGGGCTTGTCGACACTGCACCACAGTGCAGACTATGGGGGTGTGAATTGCAGAGCGCACCAAAATTTCATGCACTAACTGCTCTGCATGGATGCTGCTGGTGTAAAGAAGGTACCTAGCTGGTGTGAACATAGTCCTGTTTGAAACCACAGACCTTTTTAGTTTGTACCAGCAGCCTCCACACAGAGCAGCTGGAGCACATTTTGGTGTGCTCTGCAATTCACGCCCTTGTAATCCACATTGTGGCGCAGCATAGACGTAGCTTAAAAATCACACTATTGTAGCCAGTAGCAAGAGCTACAGTTAAGGGTGCACAGCAGTTTCCATTCCAACCTCTCCGTTTTCACATGCTCACAACTTCCTGAAATATTCACTTTTTTAATTTACATTTTCCAGGCTTGGTCTCAGACTAAAGAAGAATTTTATTTGTGAGTGCATGTGGGCATGTCTGTATAAAGTTAAAACAAAATCCCTTCAGCCATTTTTTATTATGGATAATAAAAAAACAACAACCAGTTTTCCCATTGCAAAAATAGATATTTTGCTGTAACCCTTGTTCAAACACACCTTGAAATTTGGCATTAACATAGTCCCTTGGAATGAGGATACAATTCGCTAGGCTTGGAGGGAAAACAAAAAGTAATGAGAGACTGATAAAAATATAAGCCATTTGGACATGCTCCAGAAACTGTTCCAGCAACTAATTAAAATGTTACCCCCAAACTATGAAAAACAGTCACAAAGTAGGACCCTGCAGATTAGTTTTGATACCAATGGAAAAATCTGAAAAAGCTTCTTCTGCAGCTCGGTGGAGAGGATCTGGATGAAAAATGAACCTAGGAGTGTATATTTTCCAATATGACTAGTGATTTGGGTGCCTCAAGGTTTTTGGACATCCAGTCTGAGACATCTAAAAGGTACCTGATGTTCACAGAGTGCTGAGCAGCACCCATTCTTCAAAAATCAAGCCCCTTTAAGATGTCTCAAAGTTGGACACACAAAAATGGAGGCTCCTAAAATCACCAGTTACTTGAAAATTTAAGCCATGAGCTTCATCTGCTCTCTTATGCGCAGATTATTCAAACTCTGAATTCTTAAGTATGGAAAAATAGATCCCAGGCAAATATGTTTAATATTTCTAGAATCCAGCTATTCTTGACTGAGAGATCACTACTTCGAATGTATCTGGAACTACCACTAAACTCGCTAGAGCCCACTGCAGACTTAGCTGCTCCCCTGATGAGCTAAGCCCACCACAGCACCGGTGAAGGATGCCGGTAAGGAACGGTCTTTGCTTGCTCTATTTTTCAAAGTCAGCTTTAAATAGAAGCTGAGGAGTTAACTGCAGTGTTCTCCCCCTTACTCAAAGGTCACTTAGGCGGAGAACCAGCACCTACTTTTTAACTGGAAGCAACAGAAATATTTAGATGACTCAAACTGCAGCTATGATTCAAGCTCCGCCATACTTTAAGTATGTAGGGAACCAGATGTCATGCTCATGGTTTCACAGACAGGACGCAAGGTTTTATGAACTGCCCTGATACTTACAGCTTCCATTAGACCTTTCAGAGACGGTGTCTTTAGCATAAGTGCATCAAAGACTTCTTCCGACTCCTTTCGGACATACAGCAACACTGAATGCAAACCAGAGAGAGTGCTTTAATATATATTTGTTCCTTGAGGACAAGGCATAAGTGAGTGTTGTGAAAGCACAGAGTAACATACATTAAGATAATGCAGAGAAGATATACACACAAACTTAGTTAAATCAAAAATGTACCTTTTATATGCTTGTTGAAAGAGTGACAAGCAACAAGACATGCAGAAGTGTCCCAAGCTCAGGTGCTAAACACCTTTGCCTTTGAAACTATCCTGCATTTGTCTCCATTTGTTAATGAGATAAAAGGCTACACTGGAAATGCTTTTAGAGAAGGCAGAGTAGTTGAACAAGTGGAACACACATCCTTCAGAGTCTCTTGGCTATGGGATGGCTTGGCCCATGCTATCTGGCTGTCTGGAGAAACTGTTAAATAAAATAATGCAGCAGATACCAGTTCAGTTACTCATGCTGAACTTGCTATTCCTTCTCTTTAGTTTCTTGCAACGGTCTATACTTTCCCCCCCATTTTAATCTTGTCTCTCCCCCTCTTTGCTTCCCCATTTCACTTCCTTGCTATTGTTCAGCAATATTTATTAGCAATCATGTTGCTCCATTTAGTAGGATAGGGATCTGATTCCCCGCTCCAAAGACTGGACTGAAAGAATGAGAAGCCAGACAACCAGAGTGTCCTCCAGCTCATGGAGACGGAGCCATTACACAGAAAAACAGCCCCATTAAAAACTACATTAAGGCTGTGCAATAAGCAAATAAGAGCAGGGAAATGTGGACATGTAACAGCTTCAAAGTCCTTAATTCACCCTCTAATTACTAGGTATTGTGGCACATATTGTTTACTATGTTTGATAGCTCACTGCTCTGATGCACCTGTGATTTGGAAAAATATACTGTAACATCTAGGTCAAACGGGGTGAATTAAGCTTGGATGCTTGGAGATTTTTAATTTGGTGGAGGAGGGTTTAAAAATGAAGGCAGAAGGAGGGGGGCGCATTTAAAAGCGAACAGAGCAATAACCATCTATACAAGGGAAGCAGTGTGGCTTAGTGTACAGAGCACTGACAGACTCTGGACTTCTACTTCTGGTTCTTGCACTGGCCTGCTGGGTGACTTTGGGCAAGTCACTTCACCCCTGTGCCTCAGTTTCCCCATCTGTACAATGGAGATAATACTGGCCTCCTTTGTCAAGTGCTTTGAGGTCCACTGATGAAAAGTGCTATATAAAAGCTAGGTATTATTATAGAGCATAAATATGATGCTAAGGCAGCTACCCACAGAATAAGGTCCCCATTTTATGATTTACTAAAGCTCTCATTAATTCTCATTTTCCCTTAGCAAACATCTTCATTTGTTTATTGCAGCCAGAGGGGAAGGACAGCCATATGGTTAAGGTTGTAACTGGGACTCCAGAGACATTGGTTCAGTTCCTCATCTGCCACAGACAAGTCCTTTAACCTTCTGTGCTTCACTTTCTCCATCTACGAAACGGGGATGATAGCACTTCCCTACTCAACAGGGTGCTGAGAGGTTAAAAACCATGAAAAAAAAAAAAAAGCCCCGGAGAAAGTGGTACGATTCTAGCTGCAGGAAACAGACACAGGGAAGTTAAGTGTCTTGCCAAAGTTTACTCAGCAAGTCAATGTCTGAGCTGTGAATAGAACCAGAAGTCCTGATCACGAGACAAAAACTCCCACTGTTCTTAAAACCAAAAATTATGTATTTGCAAGTTTAGCTGGCTCCCCTGCTGAGGCACAAAAGGGAATATTTTCTTCCCAAAATAAGTGCTAGCAGGAAATGCACAGATGAGAATCAGATGGGCACATCAAAAGAGAGCAGACACTACCCTCCCTGACCCACCCAAAGAAAAGCATTCCTACCCCTTACCTGGCTTTCTTTCATGGCAATGCAACAAATGTGTCAAAAAAAAAAAAAGTTACCTCGTTTTGGTTCCTCTGTTCTGGTCAACTTATTGGGAGGTGCAATAAAATCATCTTCAGTTATATAAGGCCCCCTCTTCATATTAGAGCTGCAATAGGGAAATTAAAAAAAAGCAACATCAGCAGGAGCAGCCTTCTTGCTTGGAAGCAGGGAAATGGCCACGTCATGGATCTTATGATGTACATAATTTGAGAACCTGGGTAACTATTACCCTAATTACAATGGGCATTACTTTCTACACAAGTCAATACACATTATTTACAACTGCCCAGGTGCTTTGATTCTGCTGCTGCTGTTCTCTCTCTCCAACAACAGAGTCCCCTTGTGCTGCTTAAGCACAACACCAAATCAGCTATTTACCTGGAGATTCTGGGCAAGGCCCTTTGGAATGTGAATATTTTTTGGCACACACTGGAAAGCCCAGAGCAGCAAACCTGAGGGTCAAGCTGGCTGCATAGTGATGGAGAGTGCCTGCTATGCAAGATTTTCCATTTTGGAGAAGACGGCATCACCGACAGCCTGGGGCCTGTGCTGCTTATAGGTCTGACTATGGTCTGGGGCTTACATAAGGGGAGGAGTAAAACACCGAATATTAGAGTACACGGCAAGCTCTTTGGGGCAGGGACCTCACCTTCCTAGTTGATTTTACAGCACCATGCAATTCAATAGTGTTATAGAATGGATGAAATAGCGAGTCTCTTACCCTTCACCCTCCAGTTCTTCTGGTGCAACCGGAAGGACCTTTAAAACAAAACAAGAAAAAATTTTGAGTATACAGAGAAAGGTGCTCTATATTCAACTATTGGATAGTAAATGACATGGGACCATTAACTGGAACCTACCACAGTGTGTGTAGCTAGCTAGCTAAAGATAGATAGATAAAAAGTGGACCTGAGAAGCCAACAATAGGAACATAGAGATCAGACCAGAGCTCCTAGACCAGTATCCTGTCAGTGGCCAGCATCAAACACTTTACAGGAAGGTGAAGAATTACCTGCCCACAAAGCAAGTTTTCTTCCTAACTCCCATTTGTTAGGCTTATGCCATGAAGCATAAAGGTTTATATGATCACACTTAATACTAACTTTTTGCTCCCAATTGTTATACATTTAAGAACCAGCCCAGTGGCTATGTACAGTATCATTACATAGGCAGACAATGCCCCTAATTTTATATTAAGGGCACACAATGGCATCACATACATGAGTCCCACGCTGAAGACTGGAATGGTGAAGGTCAGGGATAAAAAGAACTGGCTGAGTGTCAAGATCTTGGGATGGCTTGAAGACAGTGACGTCTGTCCGCTTGTGGGAAGGAAGCATTGGCACTTTGACATCAGGAACTGTAAAGAGATATCAAAGATCATAATATATGGATATTTGTAATATATGGATATTTAAGACAATGACATGGTTGTAGCCTTACTCGTTAAGAGCAATGTATTGCTGTTAAGCAGTGATGTGCTGGGGTGGGTGTGAAGGGGAGGGTCTTCGGATCCCATTGTTAATTTCTCAGCCTAGGTTTTTTTTTTTGGGGGGGGGTGGAGAGTAGGGGAAAGTGTGAGGTTTTCCCTTCTCTGATGGAGTCACCTATTCTGGGGACCACTAAATCACCCTGGCCAAAGATGCTTATTCCTTTTGGAATGGGTCACATGTCAGGTATTTTCAGTAAAATCTTCCCAAAGGATAGCTAAAAATCCTCGCGGTTCCTCCCACACACCCCAATTTCAAATGACAGAGTTTAAACATTACTCCACTTTCAGTGCACTCCTATTTTTTCAGGAATCTACCACAAGCCTTTCCAGTGAGTGGCAGGAAGTGTTTGCCAAGTGGCATTGTTTCCCTCCTTGGCTGGGGTTAGGAGAAAGAGCTTTTGTCTAAACGGGTAAACAAATGAATTAATAGATTTCCCCCAGTAGCTCACTCCTTCTCTGTGAGCTCATGCACTCTGGTATATGGGCATGCCTTGTTTCAATATTGGTAGCATATCACTTCTTAAAAGCGCACAGAGCTGATCAATATTTGTTTCACTGAAGAACATTTATGAAGGATGGTCTTATGGGCACAGGACTGGGAGAGTCACATCTAGGTTCTAGTCCCGCCTCTGCCACAGACTTCCTGCGTAACTCACTGTACCTTTCTGCACAGTGCGGGGGATATTTCAACCTCACAGGGGCTTTGAAGCTTCAGTCACAGAGTATTGAAAAGCATTTTTGGAGATCCTCAAATGGAAAGCACTACAGAAGCATTGTTACTACTGTGGAGTAGAGTTCGGCAAGATGCCGACATTTTGCAGAGTGGAAAGTTGTGTGAAAAATTTTGATTCACCATTGTGAATTGAAACAAAACATTTCAGTCTAGTTCAATATTAATCTGTTCCCTTGTTAGCCACTATGTGCCTCCTGGCAATGTCGTTTGGGTGCTTCTAGGATGGACCACATGTACTACAGAGCACTGTGGTCACAAGACTCCAATGATGCAGCACATCAGTTCAACCAGCGGGAAGAAACCACAGTGCATCATGGGAGATGTAGTTCATATAGGAAGCCTAGCCTACAGAAAATGGAGTATGAGGTATCTAAACTACAGCTCCCATGAGGCACTCTAGCAGCTCTGATGAACAGAGATTAATGTCAAACTGACCCAAAATGAAATATTTTAATTTGGGTTGGCAAACTGAAGTGTTTTGATTTGGGTTAAGCCTGCCCAAAATGAAATATTTCATTCTGAATTTCCCATGGAAAAAAAGTTGAAAAAAATTTCAAAACAATTAGTCAAAAATTTAAATTCTGTGGGAAAACTGATTTTCTAAAACTTCAACCAAAATTTACCAACCAGCTCTATTATGGAGCAATCCATATAGATACAGCAATTGTGTCTCTGGAAGCCACTGTAATGCTTATAGCTCAAAAATAGCCAAACAATATGTATTCAACCTTAATGGGGAAATAAACAGTACATCTGGGCTCAGCCCAAGCATAGGAAGTTTAGCTCCATAAGCAGCATTTATGAAGATAGATACGAACTTCTACAAATGGGGGGTTTAGCATGCAATTACCCTTTCTCAGCCATTAGCTCTAGTACTGTACACAGTCGTCTCTGGATCCTGCTTGGGCTACTGTACTTGGGATAGGAGACACCCCCCCCACACACACATACACACTTGTTAAATGCTAGCAAAGCGTTGAGCCTTCTTTTTATGATATATTTAAAAACTCTGCCCTCCCTGTAACTGCCCTTGAACAACTGAGTTTCCCTGTGTGATTGTGTTCTTCTGCGGCCGCAAGGCCTGCATTTGCTGGGTCAGGAAACCCTGTTTAAACAAACTGTGAGGTTAATGCTTTATTGAACCAAATCAGACTGTTAAAAGCAGAGCTTCTGACAAGCACATCAAGTGGATGTAACATCTTCAAACAGCCCAGAGGAGAGACAAGGAATACACACTTTTCCTTGCTGCACAACGTGAAGGAGAAACAGGGATACAAACTTTACACCAAACAAACTCTGTTAATGTATAACTGATCATCAAAACATTGGCTCCGTAGGAGCCAACATAAAAGTATGATCTGCAGGAGAGAATTAAGAATGAAAAGTAAACAAATTTGGAAGGATATAGCTAGAAAACCTTTTGCTCATTCCAGCATCAAGCCCCTCGGGCTTACTTTTACATGCGTAGAAACAATGTCTAACTAGAGTATTAACTAAAAAGGGGCAGCTCAGCTCTAATGGGTCAAGTACAAGGCTGGGAATCAGGAGATCTGGGTTTGTATTGCAGACTCTGCCAGTGACTTGCTGCATAGCCTTGGGTAAATCCCTTAAGCCTGATTTGCAGAGGTTCTGGGTATCTCCAGCTCCTACTGACTTCAGTTGGAGTTGCAGGTGCTCCACCAGTTCTCAAAACTAAGCCCTTAACATTCAGTTTCCCATCTGTAGAAACAGGGATAATAATGTTTACCCAACTTTGTAAAGTGCCTTGCACAACACTTTTCATCTTTGATTGCAAGTGCCAAGTGTGATTTCATGCTGGTCCAAATAGCACTGCCTTCTCCCTCTACTCTCTGGCTCCTAAAAGCCATAAAGTGATTGGATGTACAGTGGAGCCCACTCAGTGGGCATATAATTTGTTTTTGAGCGAAGAAGAATTGAAGTTCCTAACTTATCCTGTGCATTGCAAAAATACAGTTCACAATCCCATATACAGTGGATTCAAGTGAAGCTATTTTATGGGAGGAAAAAAAGGCAAGCAATGACTCCTTTCTAGGAAAATTCCATTGTACTGAAAACAAAACTAGTCTGTAAGTGACATGAGGCCTACGATTTAAACACTTGGCGGAATAATTTCTACTTACAGGCATTCAATTGGGAGCTGGGGTCAGTGCACTTGCCTTTTCTTTTGCTTTGTTTTCGTTCTTCATCCCTGATCTTCCTTTCTGCTCCCTGTCAGATGACAGATTGGGGAAGAAGGGAGAAAGAAAAAAATAGTCTCTCAGTTGTTTGTTTGTAATACCCTCAGTTCAAGGACATTGATCTTTACAGAGTAGAACACGTGGCGGTCAGTCTCACACTAACCACTTCATCAGGTCAGCCAGAAAATACCTCTTTTGAAATCTGTCCAGTACTTATTCCGAAGCACTGTCATCAAATCAAAATTTAATGGAAGTATGACAATCACTTGAATTTGTTTTAAGTTTGGGACTGTGGTAAAATGGCAAGTTACCACACAGTTACTTCAGCTTTTCCATACACTTAAGAGAATAGCAGTGTCTAAGATATAAAACAGCGATCATTGAATTTTTCTCTGATCAAAAATATTCCTGATGCTATAATCAAGCTAAATTCAGAACCCCTAGAGTTTTACAAGGATGGAACAAGACATACTAGCATGTTGAAGAGTCTTGGTCAGCAGCAACTGTGCCATCTTTCACAGCACTAAAATAATACAAGCATCACTTTTCATCCCTCAGAACAGTGCTAGCTTCTATGGGATCAACAAACACCTAATACAGAATAGATGGAAGCAGAACCTACCTCACATTTACAGAATTCCCTGTCCCTCCAAAAAGAATGTGACCAAAAAAAACCTCAACAGCTAGTCAAGTTTTCTATGACGTATAAGCATGTAGATACCTCAGGAAGTAGGGATGGTCTAAGGCTCTGCCAGGACCCAATGAGATTTGAATTTGTTTCCAAACTCTGCCAGAAAATTCCTGTGTGATCTTGGGGTAAGTCACTTAGTCTGTCTCAGTTCTGTGAAACGGGGATAACAACTCTTCACTTTCTCCCAAATTTCATCTGTCTTGTCTATTTAAACTGTAAGCTCTGTGAGGCAGGAGTTTTTAAATGTATTTTGTACAGGACCTAGCACAACAAGGCCCCAGTCCCAGTGGGGACCTGTCACAGAGTGGGTAGGTGGTGCTGCTACTGGTTCTATTGCATTAATTCAAAGTGAAACAGTGATGGAGTCTCCTTAAATTAGCTAAAACCTAAGAGTAAGCCATATATAGGCCGGACTATTAACTTCGGATTCAGAACAATCATAACCAAATGATTGGCTAGCCAAAGTGGCAGCATCCCTATGCTCATCTGCATGTGCCAAACACCTAAGTCCATTGCCTGCCCAGAACATAGGATGCAGTGGAAAATTGTGAGGTGGGGAGGAAGATTTGGTGATTTGCTTTGTAAAAGGAAAACTCAGATTGGCTTGTAAACAACGCTTGGGGAAAGGACACGTCACACCAAACACAGCAGAAATGTAGTTTCTGCAGTTAAAGTAGTTGCATTTCTGAACCATTTGCCAATTTTCAATACAAAAGTAAAAATGGAGGTCCTTTCACACTGAATTCTCCCCCAACACAATGAAATTTGACAATCTGATCAGGAAAAACCTCTCAAATAAATAATAATAGGCAACTATAAGCTTCACACAGTGTTAAAGCAACTCCGATGACAGCCAGAAGTAGTCACCTAGAATCCTCCTGTTATTCTCACCCACAAAAAATTGTGTAAGAAAACATACAGGCTAAGCAAGAAGAAAATGTACAGGCTAAGCAAGAAGAGTCACTTCCAAATGACTGGATTTCAGGCCAGAATTCAAAGTGTTCAGTGATTCAAAGTCGATTCTCTTGCAGTACTAACAACCAATAGCATAACTTCATCTGCTGGGCTAAGCCACTGTAGCAGAACCAGCAAAGGGTTTTTGGGCTCAACAGCAAGGAATCACTTTAACAAAAAGAAACAAAAAGAAACAAAAAAATCACACTGCTAGACATCTGATAAATTAAGAAACAATTATACATCATAATGTAGGTTAATAACGGCGTTTGGACAACTCAACACATCTATAACGAGGCTGTTACATAAGGCAGTATTGTCTAGTGATTAGAACACAAACGTTCGAGTTCTAATCCTGGCATTGCCACCAGCTCTCTCTGACCTGGGCTAAGTCACCCAACTTCTTTATATCTCAGTATCCCCCGCCCAGCAAATGGAGATATTTACCTACCTCATAGGGGAGATATGGGATTCATTAATGGTTGCATGGCACTTTGAAGATATAAAGCTATACACAGGTACCAAGTATTCTAGTGTCATTCTAAGTAAACTCAAGGGGGTGGTGACATTAAGCCCCAGGATGGAGAACTGGTCAGTAGCCCAGGAAAGATGGTATTTGAGCTGTGGTTTACAAGACTTATCTGTTGTTTAGTGAAGCTTATGATCAACCTTTGTAACTGGTAGTGGGCTTTTTGATTAACAAGCAGTGAGTTCTGCCAAGCTAGAATAAATGTTATTTTATTAAAGCAAGGTCCCCAGATGCCTTAGTGAGTGAGGCCAGTACATGTTCCTTAATAAAGATGGGATGTGGAATCAGAAAGGCAGAATGACTTTTGGCGAGGGTGGCAAGAGCAAAGGTCAACCTCACCAGAGATGATGGGGGCGGGAGGGGAAAGAGGAGGAACTGGCAGAGCCGACACCACAAGGGGAAAGAGGAGGAGACACAAAATTAGAAATAGAGGAGGGGAGGCCAGCCAGCTCCAGAAATAAATCAGTTCAAAGAGGAAAAAGATGACCCAATATTAGACTTGCAGGACTTCAAGGCAGTGACCAACATCTTTGTTCTATAAGGCACCCAATGTTTTGGTGCTGTGAAAGCAAGCAGCATGGATATATTCTATCATGAGTAATTTTTCCTTATGTTAATGGCCTGTCTTTGTCCCCTAAAAAATGGGATGGAATTAAAAAAAATAAAAAATACCAAGGCTGCCACCATTAACACAACCCACTCTAACTTCAAGACTGAAGGGGCACAACAACAGCCTGCAACATTAACAGAGCAGAAGTGTTGGAATGCAACAGCAGTCGAGAGTCAGTGAGGGCCAGATGGGTCAGTTCAAATTTTGCCTCAGCCCTATATTTTCTTGTTCACACAGGGTTAAGTCAAGTACTTACTGTTATTCATATGTAATATTTCAGAATTGCAATTTCTCTGTTGTACATTTTTAAGACATGTACGTGTATATTTCCAATATGTATTTGAGGAAATCCTCTTTTGTTACACACCCACAACCATACAGCTGCATGGAACTTGGTTTTTAAAAAGCGATGCTGGTTCTGAGTCACAGGAGCACATGAACAGCCTCTCAAATTCCATATACAACCAAATTCCACTTATTAAGCTTTGGAACATAGGAATCTCCAGATTGGATCAGACCAGTCGTCCATCCAGTCCATATTCTATCTGTCACTGACAGCCAAGACCAGATGCTTCAGAAAAAGCCTCAGGAAAACCCTGTATGAAGCAAGAGTTAATCAACATGGAGAGCCTCTTCCCAATCCCATCAGTTAGAGGGTGGATTATGTCCTGGAGTTTAAGGGTTCAGTTCCCTATTAAAACTTCTGGTTTGTGGGGTAGCTTTTTGTTTGTTTGTTTTTAAATCCTTAAGATTATAATTTCACTCCTGGGCCAGTTTATATCCATTTGTTCTTGTGTCCACATTGATACTGAGCTTAAATAATTCCTCTCCCTCTCTGGTATTTATCCCTCTGATATATTTATAGAGAGCAATCATATCTTCCCTCAGCCTTCTTTTGGTTAGGCTAAACAAGCCAAGCTCCTTGAGTCTCCTTTCATAAAATAGGTTTTCCATTCCTCGGATCATCCTTGTAGCCCTTCTCTGTACCTGTTCCATGTTTAAGAAGGATAAATTCAAACTGGGAGACCAGAACCAGTTGAGACAATGATAGTCAAATTTCTTTTTGAGAATTGTTACCTCATGAAAAATTGGGTTTATTTGTTAAGCACCAACAATGTGCTTAACCCTGTACAAGCCAGACTCTGTTCTGAAGAGCTCATAATTTAACAAACAGGTAGAGGAAGCGTAACAGGATCCTCAACCCTAGAGCCACTAACAGCACCATTATAAGCAGAGCTGTGCGAGTAACTGATTATTCAGGAAAAAGTAAAGGAATACTTATGGCACCTTAGAGACTAACAAATTTATTTGAGCATAAGCTTTCGTGAGCTACAGCTGAATGCATCCATTGAAGTGAGCTGTAGCTCACGAAAGCTTATGCTCAAATAAATTTGTTAGTCTCTAAGGTGCCACAAGTACTCTTTCTTTTTGCGAATACAGACTAACACAGCTGCTACTCTGAAACCTGATTATTCAGGGTGGTGGCTGCTCTAGAAATAAAATAAAATAAAAAAAAAAAAAAAAAGAGTTTAGTTCAGGTTGAACTGCATCTGAAATTGTTCAGAATTTTCAGTGAAATGAAAATTTCAGGTTTGTTCCTGAGCAGAGATTTGAACCTATGCCTACCATATTCCAGGTGCATACTCTAATCACTGGGCCGAAGCTTAAAAACAGAGGGCAGCAGCACCAACACCTCCTCTGGCCATTCTGTGAATGGCTGAAACTGTGTGTGTCAAATCTGCAAATAATTTGGAGTCAAGCAAAAGTGCATTTTTCAGCAAATAATCTATTTGCTCAAAGTGAATTATAAAATCTGCTGTCTCTTTATTATTAGCAATTCTTGTACACAGCCAGCAACTGCCTGGAGTTTTTTTTCTGGCAGTCTGAGTAGAATGATTTTTCTCAATTCAGTGATAATATAACAACCTGGCATGGTGTACATGGCATGTCCTTACTGTGTGAAGTCTCATTAAATATGAATTAAATAATGAGATAAGCGTCTAGCAAGTAAGTAACAAGACAAGAGCATACAGTAATAATGCATATGACATATGCATGTTGCAAGGCCAAAGGCCAGTGCTCCCAGTCCTTCTGAAGTTTATGGACAGCTCACTTCATCTGTACATTGTGCAGTGGGTCACTACTATTCTATAATGCCTGGACTTCCAAACAGATGTTTATTACAGTGGAATATACATATCCAATCTCCATGGAAAAGCTTCCCTCTAGCTGAAATCCCAGTTTGAA